ATTTAATCATGTCTATGTTATTTGTGTTATGTTCAGGTGGTTAAACTGTAAGTTTAAAGGTGTATGGTTACTATCTGACAGAGTTAAAGCTTTATGTAATCTTGATGTTTCTTGTTTTTTTTTTTCACATATGGTACTCAGTTGGCCCCATCACTCAATCCTGTTCATACACACAAATACAAATACGAACATCTCTAAACCCAATAAATTTATTGTGTTTAGAGTTTTTTGTATTTGAAAAATTCCCACAGTGTCAGAATTTGTTTGTAGTGGAGGTTAACCATTCAGAAACTTGCTGGAATCTACAGATCTGTTTTTACCACAAATTTTCTTGAACAAAATGTCATAACATAGTCTAAATTTTTCTAACCATCCATTTGAGGCTTTAAAATTTTTCATTCTGAAAACATTCTGCTACTTCTTTTTAACCTTTTCTTGTCCATATACAGGAATATCATTCAAACTAGGATCATAACCATTCAAAGACTACAAAATCAACAGCATGAGTATCAGTTTTTCTAAACTCAACACTTTGAATTTTCATTAGTTTGTTATCCATATTCTATGAATCTTTTCTTTGTTTTTCAGTAATTCACTTGAGTTTTACTTATAGAAAAACACTCTCCAAGTTTACATACACTTAATTTTTCTCTTTTCAAAACTTTTTTCTTTTAAAATCAATCTTTTTCTTTTTGACTCCATTTTTAAACAGATATATCTATGAGTTAAAAGCACAAGATTATGAGAATAAGTAACTAAGAATTACTGTTGGTCGGTTAGATACACAAAAATACACAGCACAGACAAGAAACATCTCTTAACTATAATAAAACATTTATTCAACTAAGAAAATATTTAATAAGTTTAGCATTTAGGCTATGGTATTTACAACTTTAAGTTCCATGCACAAATAAGTTTACAACACATAAATTGATAGTTGTAAATGGGTATTACTCTATAGCACATCATGATAGCTGTATAGAAAATACCAAGAAACCATAAACTCCTCTTGTTTACTGTATCATCAATTTAATTCCAACAATAACACGTTTTTAATAACATTAATATGTATGATTATAAGTGGTGATAGAGAAACTAATCTGGTTACTTTGTCAAACAGAGTATTCTTCAGCATTTTACAATCTAACCTCCTCCCCTGTTCCTACTTTCAGTCAATCTTTATTCAACACCTATGGTCAAAATTTGTAGTCTGAAAGAGTATTTGAACCAATTCTTTGTCTTCATTTTAAAATATTTCATATATAATTAATCAATTCAGAATATTGAAGGCAAGACATTGTGTTTTCATAAGATTGGTTACGGATGACAGCATCTGCTATTTAGAGGGAAATATAATAGAAGGATTCTATTTGAAAGGTCTAGGGATTGTAAAAATGTCATTAAGTAGAATCTATTTAGGAATGTCTTGTTAATGGAGATTTCACTGTATATATTTTTCCATTCTAACATTGTCTAGCTTTGTAGAAATAATCCTATTTGTAGTCTGAAAAAGTTGAATGAGGGAAAGGGATACTTTTTTAAAAATGCTCACTATAACAATAAATTTCTATTACTTTCCATAAACACAATGTAGTGACACTTTTTAAACACTTGGCAGATTATTCATCTTTTATTTGGTTGGGATGCTAATTACAAGACACGTTTCAGGCTCCAGCCCCTTCTCAGCCAACTAAACAATAAAATTAAACATGTGAAGAATGTACATATAAACATGCGAATTATAATTCGACAATGCACAAGAAACTATGCGCAATATAGATATAACACATTCAAAAACATACCTTAAAAGTTCGATATGCGACAGTTACATTTATACAGACAGCATATGTAATAGATCATATCTTGTTCCGTAGGTCGGGCTAAGAATGAACAGACCTACAGATTTTGACGAGTTTTTTTAACATTCATCTAAATAAATTCATCTGTAACAGTAGCAACAGTCATTGTGTAAATTTAAGTGATATACCAAGATACAAATTACAGGCATAACGGATGTTGTTATACTTTTCTGTAAATTTGATTTATTTAGACGAATGTTAAAAAAATTTGTCAAAATCTGTCGGTCTGTTCATTCTTAGCCCGACCTACGGAACAAGATATGATCTATTACATATGCTGTCTGTATAAATGTAATTGTCGCATATCGAACTTTTAAGGTATGTTTTTGAATGTGTTATATCTATATTGTGCATAATTTCTTGTGCATTGTCGAATTATAATTCGCGTGTTTATATGTACATTCTCCACATGTTTAATTTTATTGTTTAGTTGGCTGAGAAGGGGCTGGAGCCTGAAACATGTCTTGTAATTAGCGTCCCAACCAAATAAAAGATGAATAATCTGCCAAGTGTTTAAAAAGTGTCACTACATTGTGTTTATGAAAAGTAATAGAAAAATAAACAACATGGTTTTATTGAAATAAAAATAAATTTCTATACAATGTTATTTTTTCTCGTTCTTGCTAAATATCACTGTAAAAGGATTTGACTGTATTTAAACCGATTAAGTGTTTTTTGAGATTTTACAACCACGGACTTCAGATCTACTACATCTGATGTTAATATTTTAACAAATCAAATAGAATAACTGCAAATTTTTAAACCAAATTGAGCAAAAGCNTTACAATTTTTTATGAAACCCATCCCTACCTTCAAAACTAAGCTTTTTCGCCATTTTATTAATATAATAATTAAAAATATAAAAAGTTTTTAAATAAAATATCACAACAAATGGTACCACACACGCAGTTTTAAATATTGCCGGGGAAAGTTAAGCAACTCGTTGCTGGATTTTTTGTTTTCACATCAGTTACAATAAAAAAAAAATCTATTTAGGCTTCGGCATTGAGTATGAAAACAATAAAATTAAATCAGATAATTAACTTGCGTTTAAAAACTGTTTATCAATTAACAAACTTATTTATATTTTTTGTTCCACATCTCTTCGAAAAGTTAAATCTAAAATCTACATACATCTCTTTGAAGAACTCACTTTTTAGCGGTAGTCATTTTAATTTCCTTGACAAATTAGAATTCAAGCTAAAATTCATTTAATCTAAAATTAGTATTAAAGAAGTGAAATGAAATTGCAATTTATTAAATAATAATTTTCCTCCAATATCCAAAATGGCGATTACAGTGAAGCGCAGAGCCGTAACTAGGCAGGTGCAACAGGTGCATTCGCACAGGGCCCACTTGGAAGGGGGGGCCCAAACTGCTGTTCACAAGAAATTATAGTTTTAAATCTTAAATTTTTCCTCTTTTTTACTGGCGATTACATTTTGCCTTATTTTTAGACCCTAGATGTCTGCTCACCAGTGTTCCCAACCGTGGCGACTTTTAGAGGGACGTAGTGAGATAGCGGAGACCGCAGAAAATCAGCCAAAAGTAGCAACTTTTGAAATTTTGTTTGTTTATTTTATGAGAAATTTAAATTTATAGATTTTTTTTTCTCTACTTTATAGAGCTCTCTGGAAACGACTAATATTATTATGATATACAAAACTGTATTTCTAGATTTTTCTACAGTGTGCAGAGCTAAAAATCTGTAAAGGTAACATTTTGTAAGAAAAATAAATCTGCCCGGGGATTTTTTTAAGTGATAAATTGCTAAATAGAAGACGTGGTAACTCTCGAATAAAATCTTAGTCTCGAGGTTGTAAAAGGCGTGCAGAAATTCTGACATAACTTTTTGCTTTGTAGTGGTACGCATGTGTTGTATACCTCAACGACGGATTAAGTGGTAAGCGAACTATGCGGCCGAGTAGGGCCTCGAAGGGGCCCCCCGAGGCTACTGAAAAAGGCTGATTTTTGCTTTCTCTATGGCTCTTCTTTACAATATATGAGTGTTGCTGATTTAAAAAAAATCAGCTGCAGATCTCGCTATTAAATATAGCAAAGATTTAAAAAAGTACGAATTCACAAGTGAAATTGAAAGTTTTAAGTTTGAAGTAACGACTCTTATACAAAATATAGAAACTGCATCTCCGCTTAATATTCTACAGGCTCTTCATGATTTTGGTTTGAATCTTACCCAAATATCAATGTCGCTCTTCAAAATATTTCTAACTCTTCCCGTTTCTATTGCTTCGTGCGAGAGAAGTTTTAGCAAGTTAAAATTAATAAAAAATTATTTATGATCAACTATCGGGCAAGAACGNACAGTTCCTATGTGAACTGTTATGGTAAAGAATAGAAATTCTTAAATAATAACAACTAAGAAACACACTTTTCAAATTTTCTTCATTCAACACAATAAATTTTAGGTTAGAGTGAAATTTGTATGTGAATATCACGCTAGTGTATCTCTATATATAAAATAAATTTACATCCAGATTAATTCACTCCATCCCACAGTAAGATCATCATCATTTACATTCAATGAAAACAAAGAAATTCTGTTTAAACTTGTCTTAAATTTGTGATTTAAATAACTTTATCAATAATATTATACCAATATTATTCCATATGTTTATATATACAATAAAGATCGAGTTTAAATTGATAAGTAACTTACTAAACTTATCAATGGATTTATCAACAAACATTTATCAATTATTCAGCATAAAATCAATTTCCAAACAACACAAATATTTACAAAAATTCATAATTTTATACTGTATTTACAATTATATAAACAGGAAGTTTAAAATGATTAAAATTTTACTAAAATAAGCAAGCAGTCATAAGAGTAATGGTAGAAAGTAATGTAATCTTTTAATTAGCGAAAATGTATAAAATTATCATCTTTAAACTATTTGGTAAATTTCATTACACAATAAATCAATCAAGAGAGTTTGAATATCTTTGAAAAGAAGCATCGATAATGAAAGCAAATGTCATCCTTGCCCAGCTGATCAATACATCAGGTCCTTGACAATACACAAGGAACAAAACGAAAACTCCATTACACTACAAAGATAAAAATAAAAGAAACAAACCTCATATCCGTGCTCTGAGGCACTTCTACATCTCTGTACCTCTTGGTATGAATATCTTTTCGACATTCGTAATTATTATCATAATCTTGTTTTGTGTTGACTTCTGAAAATCGTAATATCATTTTTAATGATCACGAATTCAAAGATTTCGTTATGTTAATACTCGTTATATAATACGTTATATTAAATTTTAACATTTTTCTAACCTCTTCTGGTCCTGGGTCCTATTCTAGAGGGTCCTTTCGGATATGCATACATCCCTCGTCAACCAAATGGTGGAAAAAGGGAAGGTGAGCGGCGCAAGGAAGGGTGGGAGATTTCCTTCACTAACTGTCATTTGTCCGTTCACACTTCTTTGACTTTTTTTTTTTTTTTTTAAAGAAAAAATAACTAAGATCAATAATAATAATAATAATAATTTCTAAATTTATATTATCCAGATTTTTAATGTTTAAACGATAAAAATATTTTTCTATACTTATTTTATTATTTAGATAAAGAATAAATGACACGATTGGTACTGATGCTAAAAGTGAAAGTTCTTTGAATTTATTATGCGGAGAAAGTGGGTGTTTTGTATTGTAAATAAAAGAAATGAATTTAATTTGAAATAAGAATTTTATAATAAATTTATAGTTATATTGTCCATTATTTTTCTGCTTATTTTCGTGAAACTGGTAGTATACGTATAAATTTTAAAGGTAAATTGTATATAATAATAGTACTTTTTTTTAAATTTTATTTAAAATATTTTAAATGATTTTATTTAATATCGCTAAAAATTGTTTAAGAACAAAAATATTTATTACTTAAAAAAAATTTTAAGTTTAACTTGATTATCGTTACCAGAGTTGGCAACGTTATTCCAAATTTGATCTAAAAAATAAAAAATAATAATAATAATTAATAGAAGAATAGGACTATCTTTGTAAACAAACATTTTATAAAAATAACTTATTTAATAATACATATATAAATTTCTCAAAAAACTAATTGCAAGAATTATGTATTTTTGAAATAAATCATTTCTTTACCATTAGGCCGAATCCATAATGGACTTGCCTACCAGTGGCCAAGCGGTCTTCGTACCCTAAACTCTGGGAATTTGGCCGTAGGTTCGCTCCTCGCTCGGACGGGCTGGCCACGTGGAGTTTTCCGGGTTTTTTCCACGTCTGTAATGCCTAAATAGAGGCCAGTTTCCGTTAAAAAGACCTCCGGGAAAGCATCCCCCTAGGCAGATCGTCCAAGTGTTGAGTTGCCATAACAAACAACATAATGGTCTTGCTAAAAGAGTGCCCACAAGGCGGAAAGAGTTTTTAAAAACAAAAATCATTTCTCTGTTTTATGTATAAGATTATAAATAAATACAAACGGATATTTAAAATTATAAAACCAGTAAAATATCGCCCTCCATTAATGAAAAAAATTCAAGCATCTTTTCATCAGAAGATTGGGTTGCCTTACATTCCGATTTTTCGGAATTTGTTCGATTTGGAACACTGTCCGGATTGGAAATTTTTTCCCGAAATGTCCGGATTAGTCCATTTCTATCCGAAAATATTTCGATTTGTAATAAAAGAAACTGTTAAATAAGAATTGTAAGCGATATAAGTGTGTAAATTAAAAATCTGCACAATTTTCGCTGACATATTTGGTATTTTTACTTTCCCAGTTATTATAACAACTTGAAAAAGTATTATAATTATGCCAAATATGATCCTCCAAGTTTTTTTGAAAATATCTATGTCTTGAATCCAGAATAGTCAAAAAGACAGGAAAAAATTCTGTGGGTATGTACAGTATATGTGTGTTGTCGTATATTTTGTTTAATTAATGTTTCAGGATGAGTAAAAGTTAAGATAAAGAATTTGGCATGATAACTTGTATATAAGGGACATTAAAGCTGTTAAATTTTGGAGTACTGAATTCGAGGGGTGGGGGATAGAGAAATCATGTTTTGATGTCTCTAGTTGGGTCAGATTGACTGAATATTTATATTTGTTATTGATATTTACATAATTTTTAGAAACTCATCTCTATCTTCAACATTAAGCCTTTTTTGCCTTTCGTAAAAATTAATAATATAAAAGTTATTTTTAACACTTACGCGGTCAAATCCTCACTTTGGGTGTAAAAATTAATGTTTACTCGTTATTATCATTTACAATTTTTTATGAAACCCATCCCTACCTTCAAAACTAAGCTTTTTCGCCATTTTATTAATATAATAATTAAAAATATAAAAAGTTTTTAAATAAAATATCNAATTTTGGGGGTTAGACATCAACTGTTCTTCCGGACTTTTCTAAATAATGTATAAATGTGTTTGTTGATTCAACGTCGTTCTTTTAATTAACGCGTTTAACTCGTTTCTTTAAAAAATATTATTTAAATTTACAGGGTCAACAGAAAAGAATGGTAATTTTAATAAAGTAAACAATGAATTTTATATTTTGTCTATTGTTGATCTCTTATTTTGTCACCCAGATATCTGGCGCCCAATTGGCGGTAGCCCAGTTGACCATCGCCCAGTTAATAATGTAAGGCCTTGGACGGAACTCGAAATTTTGTCTTTCGAAATTAAAACAAAGCTTAAAGTTTCATGAAAACAATAAAAGTTCTTTCCGTCAAGAAGAAAAACGAAAAACTGAAATTACAAGAGAGAATTTCAAAGTTCGGAGGAATTTTAGCCGATCAGGATCGGGTTAAGTGTCGATAACGACCTCTCTAGTGCCCCGAAAGGTTCCGAATTGTCACTGGGAGACTAGAGAAGACCAATCAGAACGAGGAATAGAGGAGAGAAACCCTTTAACTTGTGTTTCAAGGACACGATGTTCTTTCTCCAAGATTCGTTTCTCTCTCAAAAATTCGCTCTTGGCTCCAAAAATTTGTTCTTTCTCCAAGACTTGCTGTTCGTTCTTCAAGTTCCGTTATTCTATCTCTAGATCCGTTCGTTCTCCAAGATCTGTTATATCCGAACTTACTGCGTGCCCCAAGGCCGTCGATTCTTCAGAAGTCCATCAACGAGGGACGAGTGTACACATTCAACGTGACATTCGGACTTTTACTGGACTCTCTTCTTAAAAGAAATATAAAAGCGAAATTGTAACGACAAGAATATAGAAAATTTTGTAAGAATATTTTTATATTTTATTAAACAGGCAGAGTGAATGGTAAGTCTGTCTCAGCGTGTAAATCAGGCCAACGCACGATTGGTCTTGACTCTTCTACCGTCCCGACAATCGCACACGGTCGGAAAACTTTACAATGGTGTCCCGGCTTAACAATGATTAAAAAGTATGAACGATCTTTGCTGTCTGTAAATTACATTACTTTTACACCCGAACATACGATAGGCTTAATCAAAAGGCCTTCTTAGTTTCCATAGGGCGGTCCCACCAGTGTCCAAGTGGGTAACATCACTGAACACTAGTTGAACACAGATTCGCTCCTAACCATCGGGCTGGTCCATGAGATCTTAGATATCGCACATATAAGAAAAAAAGAAATAAGAAATACAAAAAAAAAACACAAAAAGAATTTGCTTTTCCTGGATTTTTTTTCTTCCTTTCCGCCTGTGAGTACTAAGAGGGCTTTTTAATCGAACCCATCGTGGGTTTGGCCAGCCCACAATTTTGAGTGGCCGAGTATTAAAAAGGTGTCTGGAATATCCGAATGGACCACTTCTCAAAAAATTATTGGTATTTCCGATCTATCCGCATTTGTTCTCGAGTAATTAAGATTTTTTCATATTTTGGTTCTTTTTGTCCTGTAAGCATTATTTTTATCGTATCCTTCATTAATTCGGCTAAGCACGTAAAGAGAACATCCATGAGATATCCTTACATATAGGACATAAGAAACGGACCCCGAAATATCCATTGTTTAATTATGAAAATTTGTATTTTTGATACATCAATAATATATATAGTCCAACTCTAGATTTTTAGCCAATTCGATATTTTTTAAAAATTGACTCAGAAAAATACTATTTATTCATTATACCTTGTAAATACAAAAGAAAATTTTCTGAAGTTATTTTTAAAATTTTAATTATTTCTTTATTTTATAGAATAGTTTTGTGTGTGTGTGTGTGTGAAATGACGCCTTTAAAAATGAGTCATCCAAAACAAATGCTTACTTTCCTGGGTGTCTACAGTCAGCCCTTATATACAGTACATAATATTTGTTTTATTATTTTCCCAAACCAAATAAATTAAGGGGCCTAAATGCAAATTCTTGCACAGGGCACAGGAATGGCTAGTTACGGCTCTGGTGAAGCGACACATACGAAAAATGTAGAGTTCTTCCAAATAATGGAACTCTATATGTGTCCTTCCTCGGCATTTGTCACAATGCCGGGCTGCAAATTTCAATCATATTTTTTATATATTTAATTTAAACTATATGCTTTCCGCTTCAAGTTAGTACTGTAGTGTCTTGCCTCTGTACATCATACTTTTCCGTTAGCAATGGAGTCATGCCGGTTATCTCTCTAAATCTTTTCAGGGGAAATGTTTGAATTGAAATAATATGATTTCCGGTTTGCATTGGAAGTTTATATATAGTTAATCGCGGCCTCCTTCCCCTGAACTTCCCATAAATGGTCTTGAATTTCATTTATTTGACACCAATTTCGAGATTAACGAAAAACAGACAAGCGGACGACAATGAGCATTTATAGATCTATTCAATACAATTTTTTCAAATTGCAGCCCAACAAGGAAGGGTACGCGACAGCTGGGCGACGGCCATCTGGGCTATAGTCAAGTGGGCGACGGTAAATTGAGTGACAGAAACGTAAAACTTTTTGGACGCTTAGCAAGCAATACGATTTGGCGAATATATATATTTGTGAATATTGATAAAATAAATATAAATATAAATATGGTTAAGACTTATGAGGTATGAGTTATTTCCAATTTAGGAAAATATTTTGGAACAACGTACCGTAGCATCGTTAATTAATGTCAGAAACGGTTAACAAAGCACATAAAAAAGGCAGTTCTTACAAAACAAATTCTTTCAAAAAACTTTTATACTTTTTTGTTTTAATGTATATTGTACAGTCGATCCCCTATAACACTGTTGATAATTCCGTTTTTATGCGAATTCCATATTGTACGAGTCACTTAGATTTTACAAATACGTGTGTCGGGCTGTGAACGGCTCACGTATTTGTAAAATCTAAGTGACTCGTACAACATNAGTATTAAAAAGGTGTCTGGAATATCCGAATGGACCACTTCTCAAAAAATTATTGGTATTTCCGATCTATCCGCATTTGTTCTCGAGTAATTAAGATTTTTTTCATATTTTGGTTCTTTTTGTCCTGTAAGCATTATTTTTATC